TTGCACAATTGTTTTGAAAACCATTGTATCTAGGTAATACTCCGCTTACTTATAATAAAGGTCACTGTAGAAAATTGGCCCTTTATTAATAGTTTTTAACTTACTTTTTTCTTAAATTCTATGAATTAATTAGCTAAAAAGGAAAAAAATCATAACAATGTAACATAAAATTTCCTTTTATAGTAGGATCTGCAAAGAATTTTATATATGATTTTTACCTTAGACTTAAGAATGACCTATCTTATAAGTAAGCAGAATCCTATCTAGGTCTATAAAAATATTTCAAAAAATTGGCTATTTTTAGTAAAGTACCTAAAATATTAGTGTCTACTTGGAGCTAAATTTCTATATAAAAAATATTAAACCTATTTTTTTTATAAAGTTTCAAATTTTTGTTTTTAAAACTTATATGGAATATTCTTTACAGAAACTTACTATTTTTAATTAATATAAAATCGATATCGTTAAGTTTATCTTAATGGTATCATTTCAATATCATTTCAATATTAAATCGATATTGAAATGATATCGAAATGATAATTAAAATGATATCGAAATGACATCTTTAAATTAAACTTAAAGATGTTATTTCAATATCATTTCTATTATCATTTTGATATCATTTCAATATTGATTTAATATCGAAATGATATCGAAGTGATAATACTTTATTTCGATATCATATCTATATTAAATTGATATTGAAATAATATTGAAATGATATCGAAATGATATCACTTGAAAACTTAAAGTTTCTGTAAAGTTGGTATTCACACCAGAATCGATTTCCTATATAAAAAATATAAAAAAAATATTTTTTATTAAAAATGTTTTTAAGAAAGTTTTGAAATATTTGTTTCAAAACTTAACTGAAATATCAGTATTCATATTGAAGCTGATTTCTTATATAAAAAAATAAAAAAATGTTTTTTTTATTAAAAAATCTATATATTAAAAAACACTGCAATCACGTGGGCGTTATGTTTAGATTAACCATATAAATAAGTCATTTGAATTGTGTAACCCTACTCCTATTCGTCACCAATGTTACACAAGACCAAAAAAAAGAAATTTTATTTCTGGCGAAAAACTGAAATTTTTGGTTACACGGAATTCCATAAAAGGAAATTGTCAGTTACGCAAATTTCCAAAAAAGGAAATTTTATCTTCTATTACTTTTCAGAGAAATTAAAAAAAATTGTATTGCTCAAATTTCCAAAAAAGGGGGACCGTTAAAGCAGGGTAGAATCACGTGACTTTCGAAATTTTTCTTTTTTTTAAATAAAACTCTTTATTGTATATAAAACCTTCCAAATAAACATATAATAAGTGCATTTTGACCTGTTCTGCAAGTTTACTTAGAGCACAAAATGAGGTTTAGAACACCGTTTTCGATTTATTCAACTTTTTCAATTTCGTTAAAATTGATCTATCCTTTTTTGGGTATGATCGGCAAAATTCGTTTGCTCATATGTAAAGTCAAAAACATTGTTCAAAATCCACTTTTTCTCCCTAAGTAAACTTGTGGAGCAGGCCGAAATACACTTATTTAATGATTTTCAAGTTCACTTGAATTTTAGTTTATAAAAAATTTATCAAATCATAATAATTTTAGAAAAAATATATTTGTAACAGCCTGTTACATATCTACAGCCTGTTACATATCTTATTTGTAACATCCTTTTTTTATTTTTTTTTAATAATAAATTTAATATGTGTTTCACAAATAAAATTTTTATATGCAAAATTTAATTTGGAAAACTTTTACTTAATGTATTTAAGACAGTTTCATAGACAAAATTTTAAGTTATAAGCAGTTTCTTGAAATTTTTTAAAAAATTCTTTTGTCTTAGTTACACGACTGATCTTTTGTTTTTGTTTACATTACGCCTGATCTTAAATTTTAATTGGATAAAATTGGGGGTTGTTACAAATAAGACGCGTAACAGGCTGTTACAATTAGATTTATCCATAATTTTAAATCACGTGATTCTACCCTGCTTTAACGGGCCCCCAAAAAAGGAAATTCTTTGCAGATCTTTTAATTCAGGCCGGAATTACATATTAACTGTTGTCGTAGACAACAGGTGAACACTAGTATTTTTAAAAAGTTTTGAAATATTTTTGAAATTTACCTAAAATATCAATATCCACTTAAAGCTGAATTCCTATATAAAAGTATAAAAAAATGTTAAAAATGTTTTTTTATAAAGTTTTAAATTTTTTTTCAAAACTTATATAAAACATCAGTATTCACGCCAGAATTGATTTTCTATATAAAAAATATAAAAAAATATTTTTTTATTAAAAAATGTTTTTAAGAAAGTTTTAAAACTTATGTTTTGAAACTTATCTAAAATATCAGCATTCATATTGGAGCTGATTTTCTACATATAAAAAATAAAAAAAGAAGTTTTAAAAATATCTTTTAAGAAAGTTTTAAAATTTTTAGAGTTGATTTCATATATAAAAATATAAAAAATATTAGAAAACGTTTTTTTAAAGTAATAATTTTGCAAAAAAAATCAAAAAAAATCAGAACATTATTAATATTCTGATTGAAAATATAAAAAAAAATTAAAAATAAAAACATTTTATAAAAATAAAAATATTAAAAATAACATAACTAATATTTTGATAAAAAATTAAATAAAGAAAAAATTAGATAAAGATAAAATTTTAAAACTTTATTAGTTTAAATAAAGTTTAAATTTGGTAATAGATTAACTAATTGATAAGTTAAATTAAATTTACAGTATGTTGTAGCTTAGTACATCATAAGCTGATTTTAGTAAATAAACCAATAATTGCAAAAAATTATCTATCTTGTGTGCAGGTAGTATTTAGTCAATAAATATTATTGAAAAAAATGTATTTTTAATTGAGAAATTTTTTTTTTACAGATTGATTTGATCAATTTGTCATATAATGCTGACAGTAATTACAAATATATTTGTCATGTTTGTGATCACTTTACTAGATTTTTCTGAGCAAAACTCCTAACTTTCAAATGAACTATTAAAGTGGTAGCTTTTTGTTTGATTTATTTTTTTCTATTAGTTCTCTTTCAATTATTTTACAATCTGATAATAGAAAGAAGTTTTGTGCTAACATTATCAAAGAACTTGTTAATCTATAGCCTTCTATAAAAATTATCAATAAAAGGTTTAGTCACCCACAATCTCAAGGTTTAGTATAAAGGGGAAATGGTATTTTATAACAAAAATTGGGGAAGTGAAAGAAAACCTTCAAAAGGAATAATTGGTCATATGGACTTCATTTAGTGGTTTTATTTATAAATAATTCTATTTGTAGATCATATAAAAAAACACCTTACGAATTTGTTTATGGAGATAAACCTCATAAAAATTGTAGTTTAATTGATAAATTATTTATCTGAAGTATTTTTAATGAAGAAAATATTCCTGATATGATTAAAATTGTAAATTTTGAAGACTTACACAGATTGAAATACTAAAAATTGGCAAAAAAATGGTGTAAAAAGCAGTAGCTATTCTTGACTATTCTTGGCTGTTTTTGGCTATTTGCGAATTAATCTATACTATTTGTAAATAGTTTATACAAATTTGTATGCAATTTGCGCCATTTTTTTGCCTGTTTTTGGTTATTTGATGTGTGTCAAATAAGAATTTAGACAATAACTTTGATTTTAGTGAAAATATACTTGGTAAATAAGTTATTATTGTTATTATTAATATTTAATTTAATAATTTAATATGCGATATAATAGTTAATCATGTTTGATCGGACTGGCTAGGAGCTGGAAGTATCATTTACAGAATAGTTATGATTATTATATAGTCCAAATATATTCTAATAAAATGATACATAATTCAACATTTTTTTTTTAAAAAAAAAAAAAAATTTAATAATTTAATAATAGATTTGTTTTCTTTAGATTTTCATCTTACTTTAACATCACTTCATATGTTAATATCATTTGGTTTTATCTATATAATTTTTCAGTTATTGTAATTTTATTAAACTTTTATAATTTTTATTGTAATTTTATAAAGATATTTTTATTGATTTTTGACAAATTTTTAATAAAATCTGTAATTTTATAGTATATTTTTACAATGAAATATTTCTTATGAAATCTTTAATGAAATTTTTATTATTTGAATTATAGGTTTTGCAAAACTAATATAAAGTGATATATTTGAAAAATAAAGAAAATGAAATTTCAAATAGCTTACTATTTCTATTAATCCTATTCTTATTGATATTACGAATAAAGTTTTACTGTAAGAGAAAGTTATAAACCATAGAATATTAAGAGAAGCTACTTGATAAAACCTTAAAAATTATACTAAAAAAATAGTCAACTAAATGAATAAAGGAATGAAAAGAAAAAATAACTATGAAGTTGGAAATTTAGTAAAAATTTTAGTTCCAAAAATTGACTGTTTTGGTACTAACCATCCTATACTTCTATGCAAAATCCTAGAAAAAATTAATGACCAATATCAGTTAGGGTTTCAGTTTGAAGTTATTAATATTTTCTATTCATTAGGAAAAATTGATTCCCTTGATGTTAACTAATTTCCAGAACTTGAAACAATACCTACAAATCTAATTACTATTAAAGAGGCTGCATAGCTTTAAAATATAGGTTTAACCATAAGTACAATTTGTAATTGTAAAGAAAATTATAACAGTAATAAGTGCTATTGCAGAAAAATGGAAAATAATTGTGAAAGCTGATATCATAGTGATTGGCAATTATCAGAAAATTTTTTAGGGAGCAGATCTGCGCAGATTTTCAGAAATTATTTCTGCGCAGATCTTATATCCTGGCGTGATACTGCAAAGAAAAAATTTTTATGATTTCTGCGCAGAACTTCAAGAAAATAAAGTTCTGCACCAATCTTCAAAAATTAAATCTGTGAATTAATTTAAAATAATTAGTACAAATAATACTTCAATTTTATAATACTTCAATTTAACTAATATCAATTAATTTACTTAATTTATTTAATTTAGATATATTTACAAGTAATAATATTTATTAGCAAATGCACTAAAACTAAAGCTAATTTACTCTTTTCTCTACTATTTGTTGTTAATGGTTTAGACATTGTTCCAGTTGGTTCGATTCCAACAAATAATTATTTAAATTTGCATTTAAAAAGTGCCCAGAAACTTGTAGACCTACAAAAAGTAGAAAAGTAGAAAACGTTCAATTAGTTAGTAACGTTTCGTTAAGAAAAAGAACAAAATTTTAAAGAACTTCAAAGAATACCTTCAAAGTTCCCTTTAGATATCATCCAAGAAGTCGCAGACCTACAAAAAGAAAATACGTTAATAAAGTTTCATTAAAAAATAAAATAATAATTGAAGTTTCGAAACTTACTATTCCAAAGGTCCTAACCAATACCTCTGAGAAGTTGCAAACCTATAAAAAAAGTTAGTAAAGTTTCATTAAAAAAAACAAAAAAATTAAAAAACTTCGAAAAATACCTTTGAAGTTCTCATCCAAGAAGTCTCCTCCTGCTCTTGCACCAGCTCCAGCTTCAGCTTCAGCTTCTGCTGAAGCATCAACTCCCACTGAAGCTCAGGCTCCCACTGAAGACCAGCACTGAATGATGATAAAAAATCGATTTCTGTAACTGGATCAAGCATAAGACAAGGCTGTACTCAGACCTACAAAGAAGTTCTTATCCAAGAAGTCATGGACCTAAAAAAAGGAAACGTTAATTAGTAACGTTTCGTTAAATAAAAAAAAATAAATTAAAAGAACTTCAAAAAATACCTTCAAAGTTCCGTTCAAGGAGCTTTCCAGGAACCTGTAAATTTACAACAATAAAAGAATAAAAACGTTAGCAAATGTTTCGTTAAAAAAAATTAAAAGAACTTCAAAGAATACCTTCGAAGTTCTTTCCAGAAACTTTTCTATAAAGTAGTGTTGGCCAATTTTATAAATCCAGTTATTTTGACTGGAAGCCGCAAAACTACAAAAAGAAAGTTGAAATGTTAGTAAACATTTCGTTGGAAAATAAAAAAAAAAAAAAAAAATTTGAAGTTTTACTTCAAAATTGTTAAATTGAAGATCGGGGCTTATCTTTCAGTTTCCTGTACTTACAAAAGAAGTTAGCTAAGCGTTTCATTTTCATTTAAAGAAAATAATTTTGAAGGTTACCTTCAAAAGAAATTCCTTCCAGGAAAGCTGCAGATCTACAAAAAAAAAGAAACGAAAATGTTAACAAACATTTCGTTAAAAAAAAATAAAATAAAAAATTCAATAGTTGAATTCCCGTACCTAAAAAATAATAAATAAAATAAGAAACAATAAAAATAAAAAACAATAAAATTTCAGTTTTTTTTACCTTCGAAATGGGAATCCAGAAGATTAGGGCAGATATCTGTTCACGATATGAATTGCGAATAAACGGATTGAAACACTAAGTCCAGGAACTGAAGAACCTAGAGAAAAAGAACGAAATTAGCAGAAGGAAAAAAGATAAAATGAAAAAAAGAAATAAAAATAAAAAAAACCCACCTGTCATCTCCAAAGTCCAAAACTAAAGAACCTAAAGAAAATGAACAAGATTAGCAGAAGAAAATAAGATAAAATGAAAAAAATAAATAAAAATAAAAAAATACAACCCACCCGTTGTCTTCAAAGTCCAGGAATCGAAGAACCTAAAGAAAATGAACGCAATTAGAAGAATAAAGCAAGACAAATTGAAAAAAAACCCCCACCTGTTGTCTCCAAAGTCCGGGAACTGAAGAATTAAAGAAAAAGAATGAAATTAACAGAAGGAAACAAGACAAAATGATAAAAAGGAAATAAAAATAAAAAAAAACTCACCCTTCATCTTCAAAGTCAAAAACTGAAGAACCTAAAGAAAAAAAACAACGAAATTAGCGAAAAGAAATAAGAATGAAACAATAACAAAACAAAAGAAAAAGAATTAAAAAAAAGTCCCCTACCAGTTATCTCCAAAGTTCAGAACTGAAGGACCTAAAGAAAAAAAGGATTATCTCCCTCCAGAGTCCAGAACTAAAAGCTCGGATGATCTGGATAATCTCATAATCCATTAATAACATGGATAATCCAGATGAAATCCTTCAATCCTTTTCATCCGATCTATTTACAAAAATTTTATCCAGATAACTGTAAACACTACCAGGACCTAAAAAAAGAAATAATAAACGTTAATAACGTTCATTATATAAAAAATTTAAAAATAAAAATTCGAAGGTTTTTACCTTCAAAATAAGAGTTCAGAGCCATTATTTGGCATCCAGAACCTAAAAATTTGATAAAATGAACGTTAGTGACGTTCGTTAAATAAATAATTGTTATTTTTTTTAAAAAAATAAATTAAAGATTCAGAAGTTAATATACCTCTGAATTCCAAAATCATCGATAGGTTCCATTCAGAACATATATAATATAAAAAAAAAATTTTTTTTTTTTTAAAAAAATAAATTAAATTTTGGAAGTAAGCATACCTCTGAATTCCAATTAAAATCATCGATAGGTTCCATCTGGAACTTATATAATATAATAAAAAATATTTTTTTTTAAAAAAAATAAATTAAGATTCGGAGGTAAGCATACCTCTGAATTTCAAATCATCGATAGGTTCCATCCAGAACTTATATAATGTAAAAAAAAATATTTTTTTTTAAAAAAAATTAATTAAGATTCGGAGGTAAGCATACCTCTGAATTCCAATATCTTTGATAGATTCTATCTGGAACCTATATAATATAAAAAAATTTATTTTTTTTTAAAAAAAATTAATTAAGATTCGGAGGTAAGTATACCTCTGAATTCCAAAATCTTTGATAGGTTCCAGCCAGAACTTATATAATATTAAAAAAATTTTTTTTTTTAAAAAAAATAAATTAAGTTTTAGAGGTAAGTATACCTTCAAAATCATCGATAAATTCCATCCAGAACCTATAATATATAAAAAAATTTTTTTTTCTCTAAAAAAAATTAAAGTTTCAGAGGTGATATACCTCTGAATTAAAATTGACAACATATTATGTTCTTATAAACTGAACGTTAACTGATATTCATCAAAGAAGAAAAAAAAGGAATATGACTCCTTTTTTAGTTCTGATTTCCCTGCATGTTGCAGATTATGTGCCGAATGTTGCCTTAAAGACTCCGAACCTTGCAAATAATTTTTTTTAAAAAAAAATTTATCTGATAAGCTTCGAAGCTTAAAAAATAATAGAAATATTTTTCTTTGGAATCTTTAACAGATTATTTTTTAAAAGTTGTTGTAGAAAAAATTATTTCATAAAGTTTTTTAGTAAAAAGTATTGTAGAAAAAATTATTTCTATATAAGTTTTGTAAAATTTTTTTCTTTAAAGAATGTTATAGAAAAAATTATTTAAAAAAGTTTAGGTATTAAATCAAGTTAGAGTTAATCAAAGTTTAAATGTTAAATCAAGTTAAAATTAATCAAACTGAAGTTTAAGTGTTAAAATGTAGAGTTAATTAAAATGATGAAATTGCAGATTGAACTGATATTTCAATGAAAAAAAAAGTAAAAATCTGCAAAATCGCATACTTCTGCATAAATTTACATAAAAAAAAGCAGAAATCTGCAAAATTAAAGACTTCCGCAGAAATGCATATATAAAAAATCAGAAATATGCAAAATTGCAGATTATTGCATAATTTTGTAAAAAATAAGAAGTGAAAATCTGCAAAATTGCAGACTTCCGCATAAATTCACATAAAAATGCAAAGATCTGCTAATTTTACAGATCTCTGCAGTTCTGCATCTTAAAAAATTTCCCGATGATATTAAAACAAATATAGTTTAGTGTTGTCATATTTTTTTGTTTATTTAAAAAAAATTTAAAATGAAAAAAAATTTTTTTTTAATGCAATAAAATTATTTAATTTGGTAAATAAAGAAACCAATTGTATTTAAAAAAAATTGCATCAGATAATAGCTGACTTGCATTAGATGACAGCTAATGTGCTTCAATTGTCAATTATTAACTGATGCGTATTAAGTGTTGATTAACATCTAATGTGTATCAGCTGCATCTGACACAAATCAACATTTGATACACAATATATATATAGATTTTGGCAGGAGGTTGGCTGAAATTACAGTTATCTGATTTTTTTTCTATATTTCACTGTGTCAATAAGACTATTTTCTCAGCAATATATTAAAAAGATCAGAAATAATAATATATTTGCTTTGATTTTAAGTATTTATAAAACTGGAAAATTTAATTAACATTATGATAATATTTTTTATTATTAACTTTACAGAATATATAAGTTATTTTAATTGTTAATTTTAATGATATTAATAATGAAAGTTTTATTTTTCATTTGATTTTTACTTTATTTGTATAAGATTCACTAACTGGAATATTATCTTTTTATATAATCTGTAAGATTAATTTTGGAATATACTTTTAGAAAAAATTACATTATGAATGTATCACAAAAATCTGATTAATAGTTTTTCTTTAATTTAATATAAAATAATTTAATGCTATCTATATATAAAGTTATATTAAATATAATTATAAGAAATCTGATAAGTATAAAAAGGATGAATAAAAATAACAAAAATTCAAACAAATAAATAGTAAATTTGCCATTTAGATAAAATTAATAAATACAAGGTTTTTTAAAATTAAATTGATTTTAAAAAGATCAAATAGTTTAGTTTGACTTAATAATAAAGATTATATATGTTATTTAGTTTTAAAAGTAATTATATCAGCAGTTGATACGCACAGGTCAAAAAGTGAAAAATCAGGCATCAATCAGTTACCAATTAGGCACCAATCAGGTACCTGATTGGTGACCGATGAGATCCCCCAATTCCCTCTGTCATCAATTTACAGAGTTGCCACATTGAACGGGCATTCCCATGGTCGAACGAACGAATAAACGAACGAACGAACAATTAAACGAACAAGCTAATAATCAACAACATAATTAACAAACAACATAATCAACGAACAACATACAACATTCTTGGTTCACGACATAAATAGCGTTAGTAATATAAAATGTTGAACGATATAAAATAAAATTTAACTTCTCTAAATTTTCCCCAAATTATATCCACTTTTACCTTTAATTTCAAACTTCGATAGCTCTCGCTACGAATTATTACTTT